CAATTTACAAGCCGACCTCAATGCACTGTTTAATTGGGCAACTATGTGGCAAATGAGGTTTAATGTTGATAAATGTAAGGTTATGCACTTGGGGGCTAAGAGTATGCATGCATCATACATACTAGGGGGAGTACAACTGGGGGAATCAATGGTTCTGGTAGATCACAAGCTTAATAATGGCATGCAATGCCAAGCTGCGGTTTCTAAAGCGAGCAAAATACTCTCTTGTATTAAAAGAGGTATAGACTCCAGAGAGAGAGATATAATTTTGCACCTGTACAAATTAGTAAAACCTCATCTGGAATATGCAGTTCAGTTTTATTTTTTTATTTCAGGTACTTATATAGCGCCGTCAATTTACGCAGCGCTTTACACATACATATTTTATACATTCACATCAGTCCCTAACCCTCAAGGGGTGTACAATCTAAGGTCCCTAATTTACATTCATAAATACACATATTAGGGACAATTTAGACAGGATCCAATTAACCTACTAGCATGTCTTTGGAGTATGGGAGGAAACCGGATTATCCAGAGGAAACCCACGCAGGCACGGGGAGAACATGCAAACTCCAGGCAGGTAGTGCCGTGGCTGGGATTAAAACCAACGACCCTAGTACTGCCAGGCGGAAGTGCTAACCACTGTGCTGCCTCAGTTTTGGGCACCAATTCACAAAAAGAACATTGGGAAACTGGAGAAAGTACAGAGAAGGGCAACCAAACTGATACGAGGCATGTAGGAGATCAGCTATGAGGAAAGATTAGAGGAATTGAATTTATTCTCTCTTGAGAAGAGGAGATTAAGGGGGGATATGATCAACATGTATAAATACATCAGTGGTTCATATAGTGAACTCGGTGTAGAGCTATTCACCCTGAGGTCATCACAGAGGACAAGAGGGCACTCTTTACGTCTGGAGGAAAAGAAATTTAATCTCTAAACATGGAAAGGTTTCTTCACAGTGAGAGCTGTGAAAATGTGGAATAGACTCCCTCAAGAGATGATTCTGGTCAGCTCAGTGGATTGCTTCATGCTTTTCTGGGTTTTTTTGCCTTCCTCTGGATCAGCTGTGGGTATAGGATTATAACCTTTTTTTTTTATGGTTGAACTGGATGGACTTTTGTCTTTTTTCAGCCAGACTATGTAATTAGTCCTTCCCCAGTTTATTAATTTATCATGTATGTACTGTAGATTTGTCAATTAGTTCCTTACTAAGCATAATTATTTGCATCAGTTATGAGAAGTTATTATGTATCAGAGAATGAGTGATCAGGCTGTCATGGAGATATGCTATTTAAAAATGGTAATTCATGACTGGGTAGCCTTGTTGAAGTCAGCTAGGCAATGCTTAGTTATGTAATCCTGTCCAAAACAGAGCTCCTGGTCTTCTCCCCACCCCGTGCTCCCCCCCATCCTTTCCATCACTACTAACAATGCCACCATCACTCCCACCCCACATGCCAAAGTCCTGGGTATCACCCTGGACTCACACCTCTCCTTCCTACCCCACGTCCAATTGCTATCAAGATCATGCAGGCTCCACCTCCAAGATACGTACATTCCTCACTCCAGACACTACTAAACAACTCGTACACTACCTCATCATCTCACGCCTGGACTATTGCAACTCCCTTCTCACTGGCCTACCCAAACGAACGCTATCCCCACTCTAGTCGATCCTGAACTCAGCGGCGAGACTCATCCACCTCACCAACCGCTCCACATCCGCCACCCCCCTCTGCCAATCCCTTCACTGGCTCCCGATTGCCCAGCGCATCAAATTCAAACTGCTAACCCTGACCTACAAAGCCATTCACAACGCCGCCCCAAACTACATTACCGACCTGATACCTAAATACTACCCTACCCGTGCCCTTCGCTCCTCACAGGACCTCCTACTCTCTAGCTCCCTGGTCTCCTCCTCCCACGCCCGATTGCAGGATTTCTCCAGGACTTCCCCCATCCTCGGAAATTCCCTACCCCAATCCATCAGACTGTCACCTACCCTCATCACCTTCAGGCTCACCCTGAAGACCCACCTCTTCAGGGAAGTCTACCCCACCCTCACCTAACAGCTGACCTCCTCCACTCCTCTCACCACTTCATTCCCCACAGCCATTTCCTCCTGTACCACTTTCCCCTCCCTCCTAGATTGTAAGCTCGAAAGAGCAGGGCCCTTGAACCCCTCGTGTATTGTATTGTTTCTGTCTTGTCTCATGTTCTGTCCCCCTGCTATTGTACAGCGCTGAGCAAACCCTTTGGCGCTATATAAATACTGTATAATAATAACAATCATCTACTGATAGGTGAAAAGCCACAGAAACTAACCAAGAAATGAGTGGGATCTTTTTTGGAATTTGACTGTGTTTTGTATACTGCTAGCATGCACTACGATCATGTGATCATTATATACTCTGTACCCAACACACTCCTGACCCCACACTCTGTACAAAACACACCCTGCACTATATGTAGAATAGATCCCTGACCCTTGCGCTTTGTACATAACCCCGGCATCAGACTTGAGGTAAGAAATTACTCTTCACGTGTGAAAAAGAATACATAGATAAAAAGTGCCAAGATTCTCAGTGAGGCATAAAAGGTATATTTATTTATATTTTTACAGTGACAGGTATACACTAACCTATTTTCATACCACCTCTGGCTGACACAGGGAAAACCAGATCACAAGACCAGACCGGAGGTATATTTTAAACTAGGCAAGAATATACATCTTTCTTACACAGATTAGTGAGCATAAGGATTAGGAGGTGAGAGGGAGCATTTCTAAGATTAGTTGGTTTACCCTGCATTTATATTTTATTTACCACAGTGACATGTGCATTATTACTTGTATAAAATGCACTAACCTATTTTCATACCACCTCTGGCTGACACAGGGAAACCAGATCACAAGACCAGACCGGAAGTGAGCACCAACAACGGATTGGCCAGAGGAGACTGTGGGTGATGTCACTGCTCCCAGGCATTCTGGCCATTGTTGAGTGCCCTCTTCTCTCCCCTGCAGCCAGCATTGGAGGACACTGCAGGGGATATCACATGACCAGGCCCCATGTAGCAGATTTAAACTAGGCAAGTACTATACATCTTTCTTACACAGATTAGTGAGGTACATAAGGATTAGGAGGTGAGAGGGAGCATTTCTAAGATTAGTTGGTTTACCCTGCAATTCTACTTTAACTAAAAAGAACACGTTAATGCCTGTCTTAGTTTGCAATATTGAGAACCTCTGGGATATAATGGGGTAAGCAACGTTTAAACCCAACAATAAAATCGCTGCAGTAAATCTATGGCACCTTCATATAATATCTTTTATACAATTTATACAATTGTACAGTTAGGTGCATATATTTTTTACTGACACAGGGACGGTTGAACTAAAACTGATTATGCTGTGAGCACACATTATAACTGTTATTTTACCAACAAGTGCCTTTTTGTAAGTAAGCAAGATTACCAAAAGCAATGTCAAACTGGCCAAAACACTCAATTTCAGTGGGGGTTGAATAATTTTTGGACACAACTGTATAGTTATATAATGGATATGGGATGAAAGTGCACACTCTCAGATTTAATTTGAGGGTATATACAGTTGCAAGAAAAAGTATGTGAACCCCTTGGGATTATGTGGAGTTTTGCATGAATTGGGCATAAAATGTGCTCTGAATGTCATCTAAGTCACAACAATAGAAGAACACAGTCTGCTGAACATAATACTACACAAACATTAGATGTTGCCATGGTTCAGTTGCACATAACATGTAAACATTCACAGTGCAGGGAGGAAAAAGTATGTGAGGCCTTGGCTTAATGACTTCTCCCAGAGCTAATTGGAGCCAGGAGTGAGCCAACCTTGACTCCAATCAGTGTGATGATATTGGATATTTTGCTGACAGCTTTCCTGCCCTTAAAAAACACACACTTGTTTTGGGTTTACTGGTTTCAAGAATGAATGTCTACAAATTGAGAAAGTTTAGCACTGTTGCTACTCTCCCTAGGCGTGGTTGTCCTGTAAAAATGACTGCAAAAACACAGCGCAGAATGCTGCATGAGGTAATGAAGAATCCCAGCGTGTCAGCTAAAGACCTACAGAAATCTCTGGCACATGCTAACATTTTTGTTGACACATCTACAATAAGGAAAACATTAAACAAGAATGGAGTACATGGGGAGGACACCACGGAGGAAGCCATTGCTGTCCAAAAAGAATATTGCAGCACGTTTAAAATTTGCAAAAGAGCACCTGGATGTTCCACAGCACTACTGGCAAAATATACTGTGGACAGATGAAACCAAGATTGAGTTGTTTGGGAAGAACACACAACACTATGTGTGGAGAAAAAAAGGCACAGCACACCAACATCAAAACCTCATCCCCACTGTAAAACATGGCGGAGGGAGCATCATGGTTTGGGGCTGCTTTGCTGCCTCAGGGCCTGGACGGATTGTTGTCATTGATGGGAAAATGAATTCCAGAGTTTATCAAGACATTTTGCAGGAAAACGTACGACCATCTGTCCGCCAACTGAAGCTCCGCAGAGGATGGGTGATGCAACAGGACAATGACCCAAAGCATACAAGTAATTCAACAAAACAATGGCTGCAACAGCACAGAATACGCCTTCTGGAGTGGTCCAGTCAGAGTCCTGACCTCAACTCGATTGAAATTTTTTTTTTGCTCCGCATACTCCTACCTTTCCTCTAATGCAGGTCCAATGTTAACATTTATTGATCTGTGACAATAATATAACTTTTTTTTTTTCTCATAGAATTCATTTACATGAAGTTAAAAGTGTTCCATCTTGACAATATAGTAAACATACTGTGTTCTTAAATGCCTTACCTCTGCGTTTTATTATGTGCATTGAAAAAATGTAAGTAATAGGAAAACTATAGTAGACCCCAATTAGTTACTATATAGAAGATTAAGAAGATGTGCTAATTTATTTACCGCTTTAACTAATATGAAGCTTACCTGAGCAGTGAGAAGATCCACAGAAGGAATGTACATTTCTCTATCACTGTTTGTGCTCCTCAAGTGACTTGAAGTTGTAGTTACTGACTCCTTAACTGGACATCCAGTGATCTGGGGAGCACTATATTCCTCCTGCCCATTACAAATAGTTTTATAGGATCAAAGTGTCAATTCAAATTCATAAATACTGGTATAAACAATATATTGGCATAAAAGTCCAATAATCATGAGATATAAAATATAGGATCACCATTGTATCAATCTTATGAAGTGTTGCCAGCACTCACCTCTTCCTGGTCTTTCTGGCTACTGATCTTGATGGAAGACATCTCTTTCTCCAGATCATCAAGGTTGTCAGTACAAGGAAGTGAATCCACTGTAATGCTACACCAGATCCGAGGTCCAAACTGCTCACTCTTATGTGCAAGCCTCCAGTGTGAGGTGTAGGTTCCCTCCAGTGCTGGAGCAACAAATTCCACTGACAGAACACCCACTTGACCAGGCAGCAGAGATGGTACAGGAGCATCTTTTCGGGATGAAGATGCTAATGTCAGATTTCCCCACATGAACTTCAACTGGAAAAGGAGGAAACACAAATGAGCAAGTACCTGACTGACAAGTTATTCCTTGGTATTGTTTTCTCATCATATTTACTAATAGCCACAATAACAGTCTTAGAAGATGCAAAGTAAAACACAGAAAAAAATGCAATTTCTGGTACTGCGATAATTCTCACAGGAACTGAATCTGTGGGACTGCAATAATTCATACAGGAAGTGATGTCATCAGTATCCTCCAAAAATATTAAGAGAGAAAAAAAAGTACTTTACCTTTGTATCCATGTTCCATTTCACATTCCCTGTGTTCCTCATCCTCCAGTGTTTGATGAACCTGGTTCCAGGCTGTAGATGAGTCCCATCAGGTAAATTCTCATCCACAAACACAGCACTAAGTGTAGGGATGAATTGGGTGCAAGGCTCCATGGGAATTCTACAAAGTTAAGATTAAAATAATGGTCAGTTCCTTAAAGATAGTAAACTGACCTCTCCAGCATATTGAGAAAATCCAAGATTGATGTAGTATGCCAGTTTCTACACTTCCTTGCAGTGTGAAAGCTGGCTCACCCATTTAACCCTATCCTTAGTGAACAGAGACTGCCCATCAGAGTAATAGTCAAAAAGGAATATGTGGGAGAATGAATGGGGTGTGGCCTAACGCCGATGTGAGCGGGCATACACAGCTCACTTGGGCTCCTCTATCCTGATCCCTAACCAGCTGTGTCTGCAGTGGAGTGGCCGGAGACTGCCTAAGTGTGAGCGGTGCCTGGGACCTGGAGACGAGGACGGATGCAGGCGGGAGAGTGGTTGCTGGTTCACGTGGGGTCCCAGGCCGTCTTAGTGGTCCTCTTCGTGCGGAAAACCTCCTGCTGTCCGGAGATTCGTAACTGACCAGGTGCATGGTGGGAGAAGGACTAGCGGCGAGGTCGGCCCCAGACCAGCTCCGTGGATCCCACGGACAGACTCGCCTCGGCTTTCTTGGGCCCCAGTCACTTCATCTGGGAGGAGATGAGAGAACGGTGGACCGGCAGAGGTGGAGGGAGTGGAGAGGCCGGATAGACTGAAGACCAGTGGAGAGGTGATGTTGATTTGCTTGGAAGGGTGGGCTGTGCAGTGTTAAAAGAGAAGCAGTATACCATCTTAAACTGTGCATAAACAGGAGAAAATGACAAGGAAAAAAGGGAGAAGCGCCAGTGGTTCAGGAGGCCGGTGGTACACAAGCACAACACACAGTAAAAGATAGAAATAAAGAAGTGTCAGCGAAATTAGAACAATTTGCGCATAAAACTGGAAATGTGCAACAAGCTAGACTGTCATCTTCGCCAATAACATCGCCTAATCTGTATGGTGGCTCGCCTAAACTGGCATCAGTGACTGGCACTCAAACTACAATAGGAATACCGGATCAGTTTATATTGGAAGTCTCAGTGATGGAGGAACCATCATTGAGAGAAGTATTGGAGGCAGTGAATGAGTGTAAAGCTACTTCGTCTGACATGACTGACCACTGAACTATATTAAAGAGGGGATGATGTTGTTTAAACATGACCTGCAAAAAGTGCAGTAGCACACTACGGAGTTAGAGAGCAGAGTAAGCAAAGTGAAGGATGTGTTAATACCCATGAAACAACAGCTGGAACTGTTGAAGGGTCAAGTAGACAGACAAAGTGGCAATTTGGAAGACCTGGAGAACCATTGGCAGAAAAACAAACGTTTGGGTAATAGGTTTGCCAGAACGCAGTGAAGGGGGAACAACATGAGAGAATTTCTGGGAAAATGGATACAGAATATTTTTGGAAAAGAAGGACTCTCCCCCTGGTTTGCAATTGAAGGAGCACATAAGGGTTCCTTCAAGAGCTTTACCAGTAGGAGAGACTCCAAGATCAGTGCTCAGGAGACTTTTTTGTTTTAAGGACAGAGAAAAAAATATTGAGGAAAGAAAGAGATGAAAGAAAATGTATAATGGTGTAAAAATCTCATTTTTTCCAGATTTCTTTGTGGAGTTACAGAGAAAGAGAGTGAAATTTGTTGATATCAAGAGGCGCCTGGGGCAGTTAAATGTTCAATATGCTATATTGTACCCTGCATGACTGAGAGTTGTGGCAAAAGGGGTAGCTCACTTTTTTGAGACATCAATCGTGGCCGTCTCTTGGTTGGAAAGTAATGAGCAGTCTTTAAAGGCCCAGTAAAGAGCTAGATAGTCACTGATAGAATAAATGAAGAGTACATGAGTATGATTGGACAGACACAGGGTTTTTTTTCTTTTCTTCTTTTAGGAGCAACAGAGTGGAGCTAAGGGATTAGTTAGAGAGTCATAAGTAGTCATAAGTAGTGTGGTATTGACACATGGTTTGTAGAGATAAAAAAAATATTTTTATTCACACAGGTAGAAATTAAAGGTCACTTCCAATTCCCCTGGAGGTGTTTTTTTTCTTTCTTTCTTTTTTTTGGCTGAGGGGAGGGTGGTCAGAGGTAAGCACAGACACATTAAAAATGAAAGAGAAGAAAATAGGTTGGAGGGGAAAAAGTTGGATTCTAAATATGGTCTCACAAAAGAAAGAATATTTTGTAAAAGTAAGTGGTTCACTTATATGGGAATTGGTAAGCACAGGAATGAGAAGAAAGGTGGTAAATTATAATAGTATATTTTTTTCTTTGATCTTCGTTTTGTTTGATGGGTAAAGTAGTGACAATCTGTTCTTGGAACGTGAGGGGGCTGGAAGACCCAACTAAAAAAAATTGCTATGTTCAAGACTGTTTCCACTATTGGGATCTCTGTCCTTTGTTTACATGAAACACACCTGCTCAAGGAAACAGTAACAAGATTAAAAAAGAAGGGGTTCACTCATCAATATCATTCAGTGAGGTACGAGTATTTTAATACATAGATCAGTGCAGTTTTTTTGTAAACGGATAAAAATTGATAATAGTGGATGCTATGTATTTGTGTATTGTGTAGCAGGTATATTATGTATACTGATGAATGTGTATGCCCCCCCCCCTCCATTTAAAATGGACATAATTAAACATATATTAGAATTTATAGTGGATTAGCCAAATATACTAATCTTGGTGGTATGGGATTTTAATATGGTAATGGATGTACAGATGGATAAATTCCCACCGGGAAGGAGAACAGGACAGAGTAATTACACTCTATTACACAGGGTGATAATGGAGTCAGGGTTGAGAGATATTTGGCGAGAACATCATCCAAAGGATCAAACGTTTTCATGCTGTTCAGGCACCTATTTGTCGCTCTCCAGGATAGATTTGGAACTGGGGAATGACAGTATGTTGCCCTTAATAACTGATCTAAGGTATGAGGTTAGAGGTCTATCAGATCATTCTCCGTTGATTTTGACAATTATGTCAGATTATTATTAAACAACAAGAATGGAAGGTATGATATGGTTCAAAGCCATTGGCATGGCACCAATAAACATAGGCTGGTCTCCCAGATGGAAACAAGGTGGATATATGAGATGAGAACCTTATCCCTCCTTGGTCACAATGTGGAAGTGGATATAAACTGTTATATAGATAACAGTTAGTGCCTTTATACCTATTTCATTATTTTTAGACATCTTTATATTTCAACCTGGTTTATATCTTAATATTCATTAGGGTCTAGTATGGTTTCTAGGATCAGTACTCTATATGTTTTTATTTGATGTACTAAGTATTAAGATATTTAATCATATGGATTTCTTATGTATTCTATTATGCAGTGCACAACTCATCATTTTACATATAATTTTTATATTTTCATAGTTTTTATACTTTACTATGTTGTCATTTTAAGTATTTTGTCATGATGCGCATTTTACATGATATATTTAGTGTATACCCACTAAGTAATGATATATATTGATATTACGCTGATTACACTGAACAACCAACGCCCACGCCTGTTTCTATTATACTTTACTTGCCGTTATAATCTTTTATAGGTATTAAACAATTATGATTTATCAATATTTTATATTATTAGCTTAATCCCATTTTACTTACCTAATGAGGTTTAAGGGACTTTTTATTCAAATTATAAAATATATATATTTTAAATAGTGTATATTTCAGATTTACTTGATATATGACTCTCCTTATATGGAGGTTTTAGAAAAATGGTGCTGATGGCATCCATGCATGAGCAGTCTTAATTTATTTATGAACATCAAATACACTGTACAAGTAAGCAATTTTTTATAGTAATTGTTTATACTAACTTTTAATGAAATAACCTAGGCATACTTTGGGGTACGCATTCATTGTCGTTACCCTTCATCATAACGTTTTTTAGTTGTTCTTTGATGTTTTTATGTTCCAACAATGACCCATGGGAAAATGGCGCCTGTACCTCTGCATATGCGCATTTTTTGTAAAGTTTGTGTGCCGGTCCACGGAAAATGGCGCCTATGCCCTCGCACATGCGCATTGCATGCCGAATATCGGTGACAATGGTCTCTGTATTCAATGGACCTTTAATAGACGTTGTTGTGCATATTTCATGCTCTCATTTTATGCACATAGGTGGCATGTTCCCTGTATGTGCATTCATGCAATGATCCACAAAAAAATGGCATCCGCTGTTTTTGCGCACGTGCATTTGACATAAATACATGCCAGTCCACGGGAAAATGGCGCCCGAGCTCTCGCGCATGCGCAGTGCATACTGATCATTGGCAAAATGGTGCCTGCTTAATTGATGCAGGCGCCCACACTATAAATAGATCTGCGCTGACGTCCGGCTGCCATGGCGCACACCCCTTATGAGAATGTATGTGTGATACGAAACGTACGTCAAGGAGGAGCCCCTGCAAGCCGTGACGTCACGCCGCCGGATCACGGTGGTCCGGCGGCCACCCATTACTACCAGCTGGTCAGTGTACACCACAGTTTTATGCTGCATTCATTACTTACTGCATCCTTCATGCACGAGGATTGACCTTACCTTAGTACCTAAAAGTGTGTTCTTATTTTAACTTTTAATTTTCAATAAACTAATCCAATTTTTGATCAAACTACTACACCATGGGTACTATTTTCTGCTCCACATCGAGCATTTAATCCCCCAGGACCCCCAGGTGACCATCCCAGGGCCCAGAGGAGAGCTGTATCCAGCAGACCCCATCCGTAGCCAGGCCTTAAAGGGGACCTCTAGAAGTTCCATTATCCACTGAGGAGTTATTCATTCCAGGCTACATCCTACCCAGGGTTGAGGGGACCTCTGTTACATATGATATAAACGCACATTTATATTGCGCCTCTGGTGAGTGTGCAATTTATCTGTTATTCCTGCATGACACAGAATCGTATGTGTCACTGGGATCAATTCAAGTCACCTCCTCTAAGTCTATTTGTGGTTCCATCACCTACAGTCATGGCCGAAATTGTTGGCACCCTTGATATTTCTCCAGGAAATCATGTATT